AAATTAGAATTAAATCATTACATACCTGACATTGGCACTATTGTCATTTGTTTCTGTGGCTGCCCAGTGTGCCTGGATTTGTAGTGAAGGCTGTCGTGTTTTGGCTTTAAACTGAAACAGAGTAGGGTCAGATGGGATATTGGGAAGGAATTGCTGGCTGGGAGGGTGGGCAGGCCCTGGCACAGGTTGGGCAGAGAAGCTGTGGCTGCCCCTGGATCCCTGGAAGTGTCCCAGGCCAGGTTGGAGGGGGCTTGGAGCAACCTGGGCTGGTGGAAGGTGTCCCTGCCCATGGCAGGGGTGGCACTGGATGGGCTTTGAGGTCCTTCCAACCCAAACCAGTCTGGGATTCTGTGATTTTCAGGAATGGAGAAGAGGGAACAATCCTAAATGCCCTGAACTCTGTGGAAAACCCCCAAAACATGGCACAGAAGGAATCATTTGTTTTGACCACCTCATGACTGGGGGTGTTGTTGCCCATGTTTTCTTGTGCGCATCTGCAGGTTAGGCTGATGCTTTTAATTCCATTTACTCCTTTAGGAGTCCATCAGGAGGTTGGTCTACCTGTCCTGGATATTCCCATCAGAAGAAGTGGACTCTGTGGAGGTCATCCCCAGAGAGGTTAAAGCCAAGGCCGGTGGGTGCGGTGGCAGCAGCAGTGACAGCGACAGCGAGGACAGCGACAGCAGCGCCCCGTGGGACCACAACTACACAAGGAGGGAGGTGCTGAGCAGAGCCCCCCCTGTCCCTGGCACCTCCCACGTGCAGTACTCAGAGAACAGGCCCTGTGAGGCCACCCAGGCCACTGACCCCGCACCCCCTGAGCCAGCGGGGGCTGAGGAGCACACGGACCTGGCAGGAGACCAGGACCTGGCAGGAGACACAGACTCGGGTGGGGAGTTGCTCAGCCCCTTCCCCGAGCTCAGCTGTCACTACCCTGCCAGGCAAAGCAGCACCTGCTTTACCATCAACCTGCAGACCGTGCTGCTGGGGAGCCTGGAGGAGCGCGGGGACAGCCCTGCAGCGGCTCTGCCTGCCCCGCAGCACGAGGGGCACTGGCAGTGTGCCCATGCCCTGGAAGCAGAGGCTGACACGGGGACTGTGCAGAAAGCACCGGGTGCTGATGACTGCCAGGAATGGCAGAACTTTCCTTCAGAGGAGGAAAGCGACTCATCCGAGTCAGACACGGACCAAGGAACGGGATACATGAGGAGGAGGTGAATAGGGGAGAGCCACTGATACTTTACAGCATACGCGTCAGTATTGTCCAACTTTTATTTCTGGACTAAACATGCAGATCTTGTCTTCTTATCAACGTTCTGTGAGTGTGGACCTGCCCTACAGACAGAGCTGGAGAAGAGGAGGCTCCAAGGAGACCTGAGAGCCCCTTGCAGGGCCTAAAGGGGCTCCAGGAGAGCTGGAGAGGGACTGGGGACAAGGGATGGAGGGACAGGACACAGGGAATGGCTTCAAACTGCCAGAGGGCAGGGAGAGATGGGATATTGGGAAGGAATTGCTGGCTGGGAGGGTGGGCAGGCCCTGGCACAGGTTGCCCAGAGAAGCTGTGGCTGCCCCTGGATCCCTGGAAGTGTCCAAGGCCAGGTTGGACGGGGCTTGGAGCACCCTGGGCTGCTGGAAGGGTGGTCTCTCAACGAGATCACTTTTTCAGTTTTTTTTTTTCTTTAGCTCTGTCACTGGATTTCTCTGAAACCTGCTTTGCTGTATTTTTGTACAGAAAGCAGATGAAGGGAAATAACGAAGGGCAGATATTCAGATATTACTTACAATACTTACAAAAGAGTGAATCGAGGCATTAAATACATTTTTTATATAATTTTGTGCAAGTATTGAATACCGTTAAGATATTTTTATGGCATTTAAAAGTTCCCATGCTGTACAGTCCTACTTAACATTTGCACTTCATAAATAGGACTTTTTTCATATTCCTGCCTGAGTTTTTTCTGTGGCTTCTACTTGCATTAGAAAACCTGAGTTAGCCTGTTACTACCCAACTCCTTGTGTAAGGGGTTTTAGCTATTGCATAGCTGGAAAAAAATCCACTTTGTGTTGATCTCTTAGGTCCTACTTTTTTGCCCACAAGCAGTTTCTGGCTGCCATGGTTGGCAAATGGATTAAACCCCGACAGAAAACTGGTATTTTCAGTAATAGCTTGAGGAAGAGCCCTTTCTTACCCTGAATAATAAAACTGCCCCTCCCTTCCCTTTGCTGGGTGGATGTTCTGGTAGAAGTTCTCTTCATCAGGCACTGCAGTGACAGGACAAGGAGTGATGGGTTCAAACTGAAAGAGGGGAAATTGGGAAAAAACCCTTCCCTGGGAGGGTGGGCAGGCCCTGGCAGAGGTTGGGCAGAGAAGCTGTGGCTGCCCCTGGATCCCTGGAAGTGTCCCAGGCCAGGTTGGACGGGGCTTGGAGCACCCTGGGCTGGTGGAAGGTGTCCCCGCCCGTGGCAGGGGGTAGAATTAAATGATCTTTAAGGTGCTTCCCAACCCAAACCACTCCATGGTTCTCTATGTAGTGGTGTGGGCATCTTTGGTGTAGTCCAGACCCTGCAGGTAGAAGGGAAAGCTCTCCTCAGGAAACATTTGCAGTGGGAAATTCGTTCCACATCAGGTTTGACTCAGTGTCTGTTTATGTTTTATTTATTTATCCACTTCATGCTGACCTCCCCTCTCCTATCCCCGCTGCCAGGCCTCAGAGCTGCAGATAACACACCGTATCAGCAGCCCCCAGCTCCCCGCTCCCGCCCGGCTCCAGGGGCTGGCCACGAGCCTCGGTAAGGGAACGGGGCTCGGGAAAGGCTGGGGTGACCCGCACGGGTGCGGAGTTGGGGCAGCCCCGGTGTGCGAGGGGGAGCCCCCGGTGTGTGAGGGGGACCCCCCGGTGTCTGAGGGGGAACCCCCGGTGTCTGAGGGAGCAGCCCCGGTGTGTGAGGGGGAGCCCCGGTGTCTGAGGGAGCAGCCCCGGTGTCTGAGGGGGAACCCCCGGTGTGTGAGGGAGCAGTCCCGGTGTGTGAGGGGGAGCCCCGGTGTGTGAGGGAGCAGCCCCGGTGTGTGAGGGGGACCCCCCGGTGTGTGAGGGAGCAGCCCCGGTGTGTGAGGGGGACCCCCCGGTGTGTGAGGGAGCAGCCCCGGTGTGTGAGGGGGACCCCCCGGTGCCTGAGGGAGCAGCCCCAGTGTCCCAAGGGAACGCCCGGTGTCCCGGGTGACCCCCGCCCGGCCCGGCCCGGCCCGGCCCGCCCCGCCCCGCCGGGAAGCGGAAGGGTTTCGGGGCGGCCCCGCTCCCGCAGGAATGGCGCGGCGGCCCCGCCGCTGCTGAGGGAGGCGCCGGGACCCGCCATGGCCGCCGCCCTCAGGGGCGCGATGTTCGTCGGGCTCCTGCTCTGCGGTGAGTCCGCCGGGGCCGGAGGAAGGGACGGACGGAGGGACGGAGCGACCTCCCGGTCCCGCCTCGCCGCGGGGAAGGGGGTGGCGGTGCCCCGGGCGAGGCGGGAGCCAGGGGCGCCTGAGCCGGCGGGGTCGCCGCTGCCGTGAGGAACCGAGAGCCCCGGAGCGGGTGTGCCCTGTGGGGACGGCAGGGACAGCCCGGGGTGCCTGCAGGGCACCCAGGGGCGTTATTGCCCCGCGGTTCTGTCCGTGCTGGGAAACGGTCCTGCCTGCGCTGGGACACGGTGCGAGTCCTGGCCGGTGGAAGGCGCGGGTGGGGGAGAAGCCGCGCTCTGGGGGCTGCGTGTGACTGTACGGGACAGGGCTGGGTGTGACTGTACGGGTGTCACTGTAGGACAGGGCTCGGTGTCACTGTAGGACAGGGCTCGGTGTCACTGTACGGGTGTCACTGTAGGACAGGGACTGTCCCTGACAGGAGCGTGGAGCCAGCTCTGCTCCCAGGGAACAGGGACAGGAGGAGAGGGAACGGCCTCCAGCTGTGCCAGGGGAGGCTCAGGTTGGCCAGGAGGAGGAATTTGTTGCTGGCAAGGGTGGTGAGGCCTTGGCAGGGGCTGCCCAGGGAGGTTTGGAGTGCCCAGCCCTGCAGGTGCCCAAGGCAGGCCTGGCCGTGGCACTCAGTGCTCTGGGCTGGGGGACAAGGTGGGGATGGGGCACAGGGGGATCCATGGGCTGGGAGGGCTTTTCCAGCCCCAGTGATGCTGAGATTCTGTGCACAAACCTTAAACCCTCAGAAGTATTTCTTCAAGTCTTGCCATGTCCCCGTTGCACAATAAAAGAGTTTACCTGGACCTTGTTCAGGTAGGAAGTGCCGTCAGGGAAGGGGAGCCTTGCCTTTTCCTGGGAATTTACATGCCTATCTCAGACCTCATCCTGAAAGCAGGGGCAGTGCTCCAAGAAAGCTGGAGAGGGACTGGGGACAAGGGATGAAGGGATAGAAAAAGAGGAATGACTTCCCACTGCCAGGGAACAGGGAGAGATGGGATATTGGGAAGGAATTGCTGGCTGTGAGGGTGGGCAGGCCCTGGCACAGGTTGGGCAGAGAAGCTGTGGCTGCCCCTGGATCCCTGGAAGTGTCCCAGGCCAGGTTGGACGGGGCTTGGAGCAGCCTGTGCTGGTGGAAGGTGTCCCTGCCCATGGCAGGGGGTGGGATGAGATGATCTTTAAGGCCTCTCCCAACACAAACCCTTCTGTGTTTCTGACTTCTGTGTTTGTGATGTGCAGTGTGTTTGAGTTGATTTGTTGGGTTCAAGGTCAACGCTGTAGGGTTTGAGGCTGAAATAGTTTTTATTTAAGCTGGGTTTAGATTTGAAACTCCTGTCTGCCAAAGGTGGGTAAATGACACGTTCATTTCATTTATTTCTGCAGCCCCTGGGGACATGGTTTAGGGACTGGATGACCTTACAGGTCTCTTCCAACCTGGATTCTGTGAACTGTAGACACAAACACTGTGTTATTTATCTCACAACACCTGTCATCAGGTTTGACACCTGTGACACGTAAGGACTGAACTCATCTGGGGTTTGTTTGCCTTGCTCATTTGCGTTGCAATAAAGAGCCAGAATCTCTTCTATTTCAGTTTTAATACCAGAAATTATTTAGAGATCATTAAACCATAATAGTAATGGACTGTTCACAGATATTTTACACTCTTTGGGGGGTTCTTTTATTCAGTTCCAAGCAAAGAAAACAACTGTTCTTGTCACTTGTGAATAGTGCTGATTAATGATTATTGTATTTAATAACTCTCTTACCTTCAAAGATGTTTCTGGTTTATCTCTGTTTCTCATTCCCCACACCCTGTTATTCCCATCTCAGGGAGAGTTCATGCCCTGTGTGTTGGGCAGTGCCAGGTCAGCCATGCACAGTAAATGATGGTGTCATAAAGACTTACTGGAAGTCACTGCTGCTGGTAATTTGCTTGTGTTGCATAAGCTGAGAGGGCACGAGGATGTAAGTTAATCTTTGGAGGTCTGATTCTAAGCAAGCATCTGAGGCAGGAGGCTGCAGTTAGAGCTTGGATGACTGCTGGAGGAACTGAAAGTTTGTTTGTTTGGATTGCTCCCACAGCGGCTGGAAGGGTGCCAAGGCCCAGGAACGCAAGGATTACCTCAGTCAATCTGCAGAGCACTCTGCAGTGGGACGCGCCGAGGGTCCCCAAAGGGAATATCACTTACACTGTCCGCTCCAAGAGGTGGGTCTGGGGGGCTGTGCTCTCCTTAATTCACCTTTTACAGCTCTGTGTGTCTGTGATTTGTTTCCTCTTCAGAGGGTGATCAGGAGCGGTCCCTTTGTTTTAGCTTGAGAGAGGCTTCCCTGCTGAACTGAGAGCGGGGCAGAGCCATTTTCTGTGCATTCACACCCAAGGCAGCTTTGGACCTTTGATTTTTGGAACCAGAAACATCTTTCAAGAATGGATGTCATTCACTCTGTGTGTGGTTTATCGTGTAGCTGTTACCTGTGACTCAAGAGACTGGGTCCTGCTGAGCATTTGCTCCTTCCCTGACCTCTCAGATGGAGCCCCCCAGTGCCACCCCTGCCCTGGACAGGGACACCTTCCACCAGCCCAGGCTGCTCCAAGCCCCGTCCAACCTGGCCTGGGACACTTCCAGGGATCCAGGGGCAGCCACAGCTTCTCTGCCCAACCTGTGCCAGGGCCTGCCCACCCTCTCAGCCAGCAATTCCTTCCCAATATCCCATCTATCCCTGCCCTCTGGCAGTGGGAAGCCATTCCCTGTGTCCTGTCCCTCCATCCCTTGTCCCCAGTCCCTCTCCAGCTCTCCTGGAGCCCCTTTGGACACTGGGAGGGGCTCTCAGGTCTCCCTGGAGCCTTCTGTTCATGCTTAGCTTAAAGAAAGTTTTTCTGAGTTTTGGTGGCCATTACCTTTTGATCACTTCCTCCCTAGGTGGGCTTTTGATGCAAACCAGCAAGAATATCATGTATTAAATACCATATAATATGTTCATCAAGGCCAGGTTGGACGGGGCTTGGAGCACCCTGGGCTGGTGGAAGGTGTCCCTGCCCAGGGCAGGGGTGGGGCTGGCTGAGCTTTAAGGTCCCTCCCAACCCAAACCTTCTGTGATTCTGTTCTCTAAACAGTTCCTGGTCACTTGTCAGGCTCTGTTTTCTCTGGCTTCTCCGTATCTGCACATCTCAGAGACAGCTCTGAACGAGTCCCGGCTGGGCAGCAGTGCCTTGCACAGTGACTCGGCTGAATGTTTGCAGACTCCTCTGATCACTCCTGTGTGGTGAATCAAGTGCTGTAACCGCTGCCAGGAAAGGGGCACCTATTCACTGAATCACAGTGTTAACCTCTACTCCATCACAGATTTGTAGAGGATGTAAAATCCTTCGCGCGGTTCTCGCACCCCGGGTCTGTATTTTCGCATTCATGAGTCCGGACTGGTTGTATCAAGAGAGGTGCTGAGGGGGAGGCCAGCCTGTAATGCCGTTGTTTTCTCCTCCCTGCAGCGTGCATTTCCCGGGAGAGGCGTACGACACGGTGTGGAGCGGGCTGAGCGCCACGCGGTGTGACGTGTCCTCGCTGCCCGCCTACGGCCACTACCAGCTGCAGGTGCGCGCCGAGCTGGGCCCGCAGCACTCGCCCTGGGTCACCCTCCGCTTCAGGCCCTTGGACCACAGTAAGGCTCTGCTGCCCTGTCCCCACTGCTGCCTGCTCTGGGCACCCCGAGGGAAAAGCTGCGGGTCCCTCTCGAACTGAGCCCCGCTGACAATCAGAGCCGTAGCACTTGCAGACAGAAAAGCAGAGTGGGTTCGTGTGGGAACGGAGGAACACACAACGACCTCACGATCAATAATCGCGTTCGATTTATTATCTATAAGGCAGTCATTTTATAACATGTGTAATAAGCTCATACATATTGCAAAAGCTAAGCTCAGGATTGGTTGGCCTTTAATATTGCTTACATACTGCTGAAGTTATGTCTGGAGTTTTAGTCCCTTTTCTTTATCTTCAGTACCAAAATCCTTTTTTAGACTCTCGGTTCCCTCCTTGCTACATTCTCTCTGTCACATTCCCGTTTTGCTACATTCTCTGTCA